CCAGACATTTTTTCGTGAGCGACGAGGTGGCGAAATCCGCACCAGCGTAACAGCTAGGTAGAAGCACAAACTAGCGAATTGGCCGGCGTGAAGGGAGGGGGGAGGCCAACGATAGGAAGGAGGGACGCTCAGACGCCGAAGAATTCGATGATGAGCAGCCGGCGGGCGGCAGCAGCCAGGCGCGCCGGGCCAGAGCGCGGTGAGCGGCCGTGGCGAACCACAGGGGCAGGGTTGGCGTGGAGTGGCAGCCAGCCAGGGGCTGGGGAAGCACAGGAGACAGGCCCGCCCCAGACATGCGATGTCCTGATTTTCTCCAGTGCGCGGCCCCCGAAGTCCCGACCCGGTCCCGGGGACTGGTTTTTCATCCTGAGTCGTGCTTTGATGGCCCCCTACCAGGGGCGAGGTAATTAGCTAGGTCCCCCAGCGCCCTGTGGGGGGAAAGAGAGAGAGAGAGAGAGGCTCCTCCTCCTCCTCCTCCTCCTCCTCCTCCTCCTCCTCCTCCTCCTCCTCCTTCTCCTCCTCCTCCTTCTCCTCCTCCTCCTCCTTCTCCTTTTCCTTCTCCTTCTCCTTCTCCTTCTCCTTATACTCCTCGGCTCGCACTCTTCCTCCTCCTCCTCCTCCTCCTCCTCCCTCCTCTCATCCTGCTGCGCATCCTCCTCCTTCTCCTCCTCCTCCTCCTCCTCCCTCCTCCTCTCCTCCTCCTCCCCCTCCTTCTACTTCTTCTCCGCGACTCGCACTCTTCCTCCTTTTTCTCCTCCTCCTCCTCCTCCTCCTCCTCCTCCTCCTGCCTCCGTATCCTCCTCCTCCTCCTCCTCCTCCTCCTCCTCCTCCTCCTCCTCCTCCTCCTCCTCCTCCTCCTCCTCCTCCTCCTCCTCCTCCTTCCTCTCCTCCTCCTCCTCCTCCTCCTCCTCCTCCTCCTCCTCCTCCTCCTCCTCCGCTCCTCCTCCTCCTCCTTCCTCCTCCTCCTCCTCCTCCTTCTCTCCTCATCATCTCCTCCTCCTCCTCCTCCTTCTCCTCCTCCTCCTCCTCCTCCTCCTCCTCCTTCTCATCCTCTGCTCGCCCTACGCCTCTTGCTCCGAGCTCCTGCACGCCTGGTCTCCTTGGCCTCGTTTGCAGCTCCGTTGCCCCTGCCTGCGTCCGCAGCAGCCTCCTTTCATAGACAAGCGCGCTCCACTACTCACAAAGTAGCTACTCGCAAATAGCGTGGATCCAGCGCGGGGGATCCACGATCCATTACAGCGAGGCGAACATATGCTTTTCGGACGCTTGCGAGCAGGCGCTTTGCGAGTAGTGGAACGCGCTCGGCGATTTCAGGGCCTCGATGACAGCGCGCGTACCGATATCGCGCAGAATATCCATGGTGTCCGGCATGCGGGCAGCGCCGCGCCCAGGGGTGGGCGGTTTCCCCCGGGGCCGTAGGCGACCCGAGGAGGGGAGCGAGGAGGGGGAGGAGGAGGAGGATACGGAGCAGGAGGAGGAGGAGGAGAAGAAGGAGGAGGAGAAGGAGGAGGAGGAGGGGGAGGAGGAGGAGGAGGAGGAGGAGGAGGAGGAGGAGGGGGAGGAGGAGGGGGAGGAGGAGGAAGAGGAGGAGGAGGAGGAGGAAGGAGGAGGAGAACGGGTCGCCTAAGCCCTTCGGAGGAACCCTCCAGCTGGGGGTGTTCTCGCTTCGCGTGCTCCGTGTGGCCCTCCCCCGCGGCCGCCCCTCTTCCGCCGACTCCGCTGCGCCGCGACCCGCCGACTCCGCTCGCCAGCCCTCTCCTGCCCATACCGCTCCTGTCCTCGTCCATGCGCCTCCCTCCCACATCCTCCCGCTGGGAGTGGGTCGAGTCGGCCGCGAGCGAGGGGGCGAAGTGAGGAAAGAGGAGGCGGGGGGACTTCTCAGAAGCCCTCGCGCCTTTTGAAAAGTGATCTGCGTCTTCCGGGGAGGCCTAGAAACACTTCCCCCCTCGCTGGAGCAGGGATCGACCGTCCCGGCATTCCTATAGGCCTACCACGACATGTTCTTACAACCCACAACTGTCCTAAGAACAAACAACGTTCTTAGAGCAAATACGCAATGTGTTAAAACAAGACAGTCACAGCCAGAAATGTTCTGAAAACATTTCGTGCAGACCACAATGGGTTCTTTGAGCAATATCTGGTGGGCCGATAGGCGAGCCAAGACGCTTCGCCACTGCTTGACCCGTTCGCCGCCGATCAAATGCACAGTCTACCCCGGCAGCCCCACTCGGCCTCCCTGCCCCGTCCCGCTGCTCCGTCGGGCCAATGGACCCCTGCCGCCCCCCTCCCAACGCCGACAGGAGAGCGCCGCGCGCGCTTTCCATACAGGGTTCCAACGCCAACAAAGGAGAGGCCGCTGCATTGCAGCTGCCGTGCTGTTGGACTTTCATTTGCTGCTTTAAAGAAAAAGAGTTCCTACACTCCGTTCGATGCCAATGGCCCGAAAGTTCTCAGATGCGTGCCGTCGGGGAGAGCGGGGAGGGGAGGGGAGCAGGGAGTGGATGGGGGGAAGGGAAAGGAGTGGGAGCAGAGGAAAAGGACGATGGGGACGGGAGGGGAACAGGGAGGGGATGGGGAGGAAGGGGAAAAGGGAGGGGGGAGGGAGGGGAGGGGGGAAGGAGAAGGACGATGGAGACAGGGCCCCCCGCCCGCCTAGAGGAGCGAGGCGCGTCGAGTCTCCATCGACTTCGTCACTCACGTTCTGCGCACTGATTTCACGACTTCCCTTGCTGGATCTCGATGCTGCGTCATCGCCACTACGCCTGAAACTCGAGCAGTCTTGCGGCCGTTGTGGCAACACTCTGGGACTGGGGCCCTCTTCGGCTGACGAGAGAATAGGGCGGGTGGCTGACTTCAGAGCGTCGTGAATAGGCCGCCCGTCTTTAGAGCTTTCGCCAAGTCGTCGGTCCCGGTCCCCTCTACCTTTCCAAGGGTTTCCCGCAATTCGGCCGGACGCCACCCGACGCGCTCAAGACGCCTGAAGGCGGCCGACTAATCTTCAGGACGGCCCCTAAAGACATCCAAGGGCCCCAGATGCCTCGCAGAAGGATAAACAATCCTCCTAAACCCGCGCCAACCGCTCCACGAGGCCCAGATCGAAAGACTATTTGAAAATGAATGGAATCAGCTCTTGGACACACTGAGGCTTGGACGGCATCAAGACGGCCCTACGACACCTCAAGATAAGAGCCATGTAGCCTAAAGACGCCCAAACATATACACACACAAGTCTCACGACAATTTCAAAAGAGCACCAAGACGGCCGGTGTGGACAATTGTGCCCGCTTTGCGGGTGCCTTCCGGGGAAGCCCTTTTGGGAAGGTCCCCTCAACGACGCTGTGGGCCCTTTCTGGGACAGCCGAAAAACATCCCCGAGCGCCAGGGACCGCTCCGAAGCCCTCTTGGGCTGTCTTGGAAACCTGTTGGGGCCTTCTTCCTTCTTGGCCCGTCCTCGCCTCTGACAGACTCTCGGAGTAAAGTAAGGCCAAAACAAAAACAAAATCCAAAAAAAATGCAGGTGTCGGGGATCTACTGGCCCGGGTCAATCCGAACACGGGCCAGTCGGACTTGCAAGATCCTGCAAGATGTTGCAGGATCCTGCACCCAAGCCTGGGTCAATGCGCCACTGGCTCTGCAGGATCCTGCAAGATCCGGCGCTCTGCCTGACACCAGTTTGCATGGACCCCCGTCTCTTGAGCCCCGACGGTGTTTGACTAGTTGGGCCGTCCCGGTCCTGCTTTTGCGCCTGTCGGAGCCTCTCTCGGAACCTCTCTCGGAGCCGTTCGCGGAGCCTCTCTCGGAGCCTTTCGGCAGGCTCTCTGGGCCTGTCTGACAGCCTTCGGACATCTGAGAAACTCCTAGGCCCGTCGCGAGGGCTTCCTGGATCCATCTTAGGTTGTCGGGGTGCCCAGAAAGCCCCCGCATCTTCCTGGAGCCACTCGCTCAACTCATCAATTGAAGCTGTTTCAAACGTCCGTCGATTCGAATCGATAATGAGCCGAACTTGGGTCGAACTCCAGTCGAACTTGAGTCGAACTTGAATCGAACCCGGGTCGAACAGATCCGCTCGGCGGGCCCGAGGAAGGTCCACAAAACGTGTGATATGGATGGGCGCGCGGCGCCAATTCTTTTTACTCTCCCACGCGGTGAGGCGAGGCGTAACTCTCAGGCCAAGGGCCCTGCATAATAGAACTGAAACGAGAAGGCAGCGGGAGAAAGGGGGTAAGAGCAGCAAGAGCAAGGGGAGGAAAGAAGCGGGGATCTCGGCCTCTGCGGGACCTCCATCTGTCTGACAGGGTCCCTCGGCCCCTCTTGCGAACCCTCGGGAGTGAGCTTGAATCACACTCCTCCTGGTCTCCGTCTATGGCGCCCAGAACGGCGACCGTCTGAAGTCACTCACGGCTGCATTAGGCGGGCGAGCGGGCGCCGGGCGCGGCATCCCCGCTCGGGCACGTGGATGCCGAGCGCGGCATCTCCACACAAGCACAGGCAAACAGCCTTGCCTTCCTGCGATCTGGCTGCCCCAAAGCATTTAACGCGTGCTGCTACACGCACCGGCAGAGAATGAATTCTAGCAGGCTCTCGGCGCTGGCTCGCGGCCAGTATCGTTCTTACTCAGTAAGGAAACAGATAGCAGGGTGGTCGCCACCACCAGAAGATGGGGGGGAGAGGAAAGAAAAGCAAAAAAAAAAAAAAAAAAAACTGCGCACACTGAATGAAGACCCTTGGTTGGCAGGCACCAGGCGCGGCAACTCCACTCTTGCAATTCGGATTTACGTAGTCGGCCACCAGATGCAGCAGCGGCACAGAGAGGCGGCATGCTTCACGGCATCCTCTCGGAAGTTTCCGCGGGCGTGGGCCTCTCGGCCCCCATCATCTGACTCCACCTGTCCTGCAGGTCCCAGCGCAGGCTGCGGTGCATCCTCGCTAAAGCTGGCGCACTGGCCATGCGGTTCCGGCGAAGCCACGATGCGTGCCTCTCGCACGTCCTGCAGGTAATGCACACGGAGTGCGGGTTGCGCCCGACTCAGATGTTGCGCTGATGGATGACGCGCTCCTTCACCGGGCGCAACCACAAGTGCCGATCCGTTCCACGAAACAACACTCGCTGATGATAAGCTGCAAACCATCACGGGCGTTGATGGTGCACTCGATCCATGCGGCGCTGCGGGCGCAACTGGCGCCGGTGCTGCTGAGCCGCTGGCTGAGGATGATGACTGGCTCTGCGCGGCAATAAACGCTGGTGGCGATACCACTGGCACATCCCGACCGGCGTCCTCGGGGATCGTGGCTCGCAGTGAAGCCAGCCAAGGTGGCGTCCGCCAGGTATTCTGGCTCATCACAAACAACATCGTAGCAAAAGACGGAATCCAATAACGACACCAACCATTATAGCAATCGTCATGAGAAACCACGTGCACCAATGATAGCTGGCGGCAGGCGTCGCAGGCGCAGGCGCGGGCTTCCCCTTGACGAGGCCAAGGCAGGTCGCGAGCACAGAGGCGAGCGTAGCGGCGCGCGGCTGCCGCGTTCCGAAACTGTGCTTCTCGGCACCGAAGAAGGCGAGCAGCACTCCCATCTCCAAGATCTTGGTGAGCGCATCGGCGACCATATTCCATGTAGGTATCCATGTGCGCTGCAGATGGCCATCGGGGTGTACAGACTCCGTGATATCGCCGCGACGATCTGGAACCGCTTGTCGGTGGGCTGGCCCGCGTCAGACCTGACGCGAGCGGCCAGGCCGTTGCTGTCCGTGTAGATTGTAGATATCCCCAGGGCGTGCCTGGCTGAGGTCGTCGATCTCAAGGAGCGGCTACTTCGGAGTGCAAGCCTCCGTGACCAGCTGGCGGAACCATGCGTCCGTCTCGGCTCATTGGAGAGTCGCGTAACCCCCGGCAGCCAGCGTCGACTTCACGGAGCGCTCGACCGCGCCCGAGTGCCAGGCTACGGGCAGGCATAGGTCAGATCGTCCTGCCACGACGTCGCGCGGCCTGTGGGTCAGGCCCATCGCCACTCGTTCTTGTACCCGTCCACGTTGGCGAAGGCGGCGTCGCTGAAGCAAATCGTTGCGCAGGCGCGCAAGTCGACGAAGCTTCGCTTGATTCCGATGACGAAATCGGCGGACCCATGCACATAGGAGACGGTCTTGTTCAGCGCCTTGGAGTCGGACACCGCGGCGACGTCCGCGCGGTGAGCTGCCATGCTCACCGGGCAGGCGACGCCCACTCGGGCCTGGACTGCAAGCCACAGCAGCTGAACGAGTGCGCGGCGGTAGCCAGAGACTTCCGAGGCAGTAAGTCGATATTCTGGCGGTCGTCCACGCTGGGTCTTCAGCTCGACAAATTCCATCTGCGCGGCGGCCGTCGCCTGGGCAACGCGGCACCCAACGTCGGACGTGGCGATGGTCCGGCCGAAATACTTGATGATACCCTCGACCTTCTCGAGGTGCAACCTCTTCTCCAGCACGGCTATGGCCCGCTTCCACGTGCTGAAGTCTCCGCGCAGGACGATCAGGAAATCGCCCACGTGCCAATTGATCATGTCACATGCCCTTGTAGTCATACATGTAGTAGGGGCCCTTCTCGAGCTTGCTCTCGACAAGGCCGGCTCCTGGAATACCTTCTGAGCGCAGAGATACCACTGTCGGCAGGCGTCTCTGGTGTCATGGATGGCGATGGTCGCCATCACGACTTCGCCAAGCAAAGTCCCTGGCGGCGGGTTCTCGGCTGGCATTGCGCAACAGTAGCAACCTCTCGATGTTGCCCGACTGGAGGCAGGCCGTCACCGCGTCGCAGGACGCGAGGCCCCAGCCTGACTGGGCGGCGGCGGCGGCCAGCGCAAGATAGAGCGCGTTCCTTGACCCGGCAGGCGCGTCAGCGCGAATCTGGGACTTGGCCCAATGGCATCCCTGGACGACAAGACGGGCCTTCATGAAGTTCTGGGCCTTGCGGTGAACACCCAACGGGCACCAGCAGGTCGCATGCGCCAGGGCGGCGCTTGAGGATACCCTTCAGCTCCTTGGGCGGCAACTTCCCGTCGGCGCCGAACTCTGTCGCACATGACCCCCAGAGCTACGACCTTTCCGGCGAGCGTGGCCTCCCTGAGCCTGATGGGCGAGCGCAGCTGGTCGGCGTTGCACCTGAGGTAGTTGTCCATCTAGAGGTCGGTCTCGAGGGCGTCCTCAGGCCTCTTGAAGCAGTTCGGCAGATCGTCCAAGAGGTTCCGGCGCTTGGCGGCCTCGATCCGGTCGTCTATCTTATCAAATCGATATCGCTAGTGAGCGCGCGGGGCGTCTTCTTGATGAACTTGTCGTTGCGTTTTGACCCCGCGCTGTTCTTCGGGATCTCGCGGTATTCGTGCGCTGGTCTCCTTGTGGACGTGCTCCTCCGCGGCCCTGCCCCTATTCCGAAGTCCTTCGGATCTGGAACTGCCGGCACCTGATGAATGGCCATCGTCTCGCGCAGCAGGCTGTTCTTGTGGTACATCGGGTTGTTCGGCTGG